TTGGGAGCAGCTTAGCTCAGTCGGCTAATCTGGCGGTCTTGGAGATCTCTAGGTCCCCGGTTCAATTCCCATCGCTGCCTCTCCTTGTGTTTCAGCTGGAGGGCTGACATATAAGTTACAATAGCGCACCGTCTTTCGGATGAGACGTTAAAGCCGTTGGTCCCGTGTGCATTTATGGCCCATGTGCACGTTGAAGAACGCAATACACTCTTCGGAAAAAAGTAGGGGATTGTCTCCCGGTGTACTGCCCAATCACCACCAGAAACCACCATTAAAAATAAGTCTTCTTCTAGACTTTCGTGGGCTATCCTTGGTGATTACACCGAATAAATCCAATCCAATCCAATTCAAAGCATCCGGTATATTCTGATTTCCCTTCATTCTTTTTTAAAGTGTCCTCTTAATATATCTTATAACATCGATTACATAGTGGTTGGTAGAAAGAATTTCATTTTCGGTTAATAGCCATGGAAATGTGTTATATGTTTAGACAATTTTGCAAATCATAACGAAACCCTGAGAGTCTCAGCCAATTTCGCAGTTGAACATTTTTGTTCACTTTTATTCTTCATGTCTTTGACAGGGTGTACGGGGACTAGTATGTTTCACACTTCTTTCCGTGGTCACAATGGTCGCAAGCATCGCCCTGATCGGCTGGCAGCTCTGGGAGAATGACTACTTTGTTAGTAAGGACGAATTTAAAAACGGTGATTCTACTGACTGGACATTAACGATCGCCCTTTTCGCAGTAGTGAGTTTTGTTGGATTGCTGGTAGTCATAGCAAGCACACTGATTGGCTGTATTGGATGCAGATGTTCTGAAAGTTCTGAAGTAAGTACCTGAGCCAAAGAACTTTAAATAGCAGAAGAATGAGCTGCTCCGCGCATTTGTATTAAAATTGATGGAACATCCGCCCTCCCGCGAGCGGGTAAAATTTGACCGTTTTACTAAGTGGAGAAATACAGGAAACAAACGAACCAGAGCCTTTATTATTGCTATATAGCGCCGCCGCGCGGACGGGGTAAAATTGCTCTCCGTGTACCCACAATACCCTGCGAACGGATGTTCCACTATATTGGGAAGATGCTCTATTTATAATCTTTGCCTGAGCTAATATAATTTTAAAAGTTTTTTGTATGTATTTCTAACCAAGTATTTGCTTTAAATTTATTTCCCCAGCTAATTAACACCATTATACATATACTGTTTGATTTCTAGCAAACAGACCTATAACAGGTGTCTGCTAAAGTAAGCTAATGCTTTAATACATTTAAGTAAACAATTAAATATTTGATTTTGATTAATTTGTGTATTATATTTGGCCTAAGTTATTAGCTTGAAAATTTGGAACAAATTTGTTTTTACCTATGAATAAGACTATTGGAGCCCAGCATACCACCTTGTGTACAGTATCTGTGAATACATGGCTACATAGAGAGAGAGTGACGCTGACCCAAGTACGGCTCATGTAATTTAATTGTTTCTGGTTCTTAAATTTCATTGTTCTTTTGTCTGTTATATTTTTGACTTCTTGTGGAGGGGGCCATGAGCGTTTTCTTTAAACGGATACCGGCGCTTTAAAAGTTTTCATTATTATTATTACTGTATTATTATTATTATTATTATTATTAATATTATTATTATTATTACTGTATTATTATTATTATTATTATTATTATTATTACTATTATTATTACTATTACTATTATTAATTATTATTATTATTATTTTTATTATTATTATTTTTATTATTATTATTATTATTATTATTATTATTGCTAATATTGTGGTCTTTGAATAGAACCATATATCCAATGATAATTTGTAGTAAAACGACAGTAAATCAATTTATTGCTGTGATCTGCATCTCATTAGAATAATTAATTTTGATAAATAAAAATGTTTTAATTAAACATAATCAATGTACAAAAAAAATTTTGGAATGGAAATTATTATTAAAAATTGTGGCATGTTCGGCACATGTTGACGAAAAACGGCATAGCGCCCTCTTTCGGGCAAAGCATTACCGTTGATATTCAGCATAGGCCTACTTATTTATGAATAGAACAAACCAATGCCATATCTATCTTATATCTATTTTATGATTTTTTAAATTGCATTATTATAGATAATAAGTGAACATGATAAAATTTTTCTCTCTTTCAGCTTATATCCGCGGTCATTTAAGTTGCGAAATACCGTAGATTATGTATGTCACTGCTACACCGTCTTCCAAAACTCCCGAGACACGAGCCTTCATGAACGACGACTTAGACCCATGAAAATTAGGGCATTAAGGTAAAAGTTCGCCATAAAGAATAAAATAAAATGCAAAAAAAAAAAAAAAATCAAAAAATCTAAGTCGTACCTGTAGGCCTACCGGTAAAATAAATTATTGCAATATGGAACAAAGTTAAGTATAGGCATAATAATCAATAATAGGATCTAGTACCACTAGAATCATATTGGTTGAGGGTTCACTAAGCTGTGTTTACAGTGGTTCATAAATAAATATTTTACTATTTACCAATCGTTAACATAGTAACTTAGCTAAGCTAATTTAGGCCTACTTCCATAAATGTTTAAAGGATATGTGGTGGGGTGAGGCGGGGGTGTTTTTCAAAGGTATAGCATGGTAATTAATCGATAAATCACATACAAAATTTGGTATGAAATAATACCTCTATAAATCGATAAATACAGATCCACACATACATACTGTATGTAGTGCTATTTAAAGTTTTAAGAAAGGGTGGTTCGTTGTGCTTATGAGTTTTGATATAGGCCTACAGTATTTATTCGAATGTTGAGATGGGTTGATGAGGGTCGTTTATTCAAGGGAGGCGTTTATTATAATATAATCAAATAAACGCCCCTTAATTTTACTGTAAATGTGGAACTGTAACCCACATAATTACCGCCAAATTGTGTTTTTGCGTGACCATAAACCAGCTGGTGATCCTAACCAGCCAGGATAAAAAAAATGTAATTCTACTGGAGTAGAATGTGCTGAGAAATGATATTGCTTCCATTAGATTTGTTTTCAGTCATTTAGGGGGTGGGGCGTTTATTCGAGCAAAAAAAATAAACACCTCGGGGCGTTCGAGGGAGGCGTCTATTCCAAAAAAAGGACTCTAGAGGAGGAGATTATTTGAAGAAGGGGGGGGGGGGGGAGAGTTCATTCAAAGCGAAACTTGTAATTATGAAATGTAATGCCTGTGGGTCAATCGACTTGACCTACAGGGGGGTAGGCCTATGAACCAAAATATCACCTAACGCCTCCAGTCAGGGAGGGGAAATCTTGGTGGTGATCAATGGTGGTTTAGATTAATAACGATTATGCTCTTAGACCACAGTCAGAAAAGGCCTAACTTTAGTGGATCGGATTTTTTTTCAAAGTTGAGTCCAACCAAGTGCTTCTTGTCCGACGGGGTAATTCTGTGAGTTTGGATTCCATGTAAAAATTAAGTATTTATAATTGAAATTTCTTTTTAAAGGATCACAATAGAAGTGTATAAAAAATAATAACCTCACACGTTCACTACGAAGTTCGTCAAGGTACGTTCAAATTGTAAAGTACGGTTCAGTAGTTTGTATACGTCTAAGCCTAGGTTACAAGCAATGTTGTTATTAGGCCTACTTATGCAAAGGTCTATAATACTGTATATTATTCGCATCCAATCGGAATGAATGAATGGATGTACAGTTAATCATTATCGCATTGTTTCACTGATTTATATATAAAATATTTAAAATATTGAAGATAGTAATATTGTGTATATATTATTGATTGTATGTAATCCACCATAAAATAACAACTGTGAGTATGCATATGTCACCTGCTTTGATTGGTAAATCATCACTGAAAAATATGTAAAAGAAATTAAATAAAAAAATACTACACGATAGTGTAATAATGTTATATAAACAATATTGGAATGACATTAAAAATCAAGCATTGGAGACGCTTTGCTGTAACACTGAGACGAGACAATTTAATATCGTGTATACAGGGTTAACTATACATTCACAAGACGAAGTTGATGCTGATATACGGTAACGTTACTAATCTACGATTACTTAGAATTGGCCAATTGCTGTTCCCTAACTGATGCCGTCAATATATAATGAGTCCGACTAAAGCTGAATGAAAAATAACAAGACCAAAATGATTGATTTGTGGGAGATTTTAAATCGTTCCCAGCATTCATAGGCTTCATATTCCTCACAACATTTGTTGAACTTTAAACTGCTTACCTAAAATTATCATATACAGTAAATTTTTCTTGATGTTTTATTTGTCAATATCATAAAAACTATTCTAAAATGCCAACGTAACGAGTAGGACAGTATGATCTTAGTTTAAGGTTGAGATAAATTCAACTCCTTTGCACACCAACACAAAATGGGCTCCCGATATTTGAAGCGTTCTGTAACCATATCAGCGCCCGATCACCAACATTTATAGGAGGGTTTTATCGGCTTATTTACACGCCATCCAAAGCTTGCCATACTAAGCAAACGGGCGGATTATTAACTGCATTGGTCTTTTAGAAAGACTTACAGTTTAATTTTTAAGAAAAAAACTGTTGAAATTCACTAGGCACACTTAACAAGAAAATACAGTAAAGTGCATTGATCCTTCATCCAAATACTCTCACACACACGATCAGAAATGTGATAAAACGATCCACGAATAATACGCAGAAAACGCTGTCTTCGTGTTGATATGTTTAGCTTTATATATTACTACCCTGTAACACCATAGAGGTAGCTATCCATCTCAAATTACAAGTATCGAAATATGGTTTATCGGGTTTGAGTCAAATACAGCACTGAGTTTCACATTTTCATGAGAAACACCGCGATAGCCTTAATTGTTTCGATATTGCATCAGCTCTTTACGCTATTGACATTCTTCCAACTACTATGTAGCCTTGCGCAGGACTCTTAAAAGCATAATTTGAAATTACAGTAGGCCTATAATATCCCCGCCCTTCATTATACATTTGAGTTTGTTTTATCTTAAAACTCTACCAATCATAGCAGTATTCGATTTAATAAACACGAATCATGCTTTTTTCCCGATCTTTAGCGCATTTTCTATGTACACTGCGGCGTTATTTGGAATGAACGTTTCTTAACAGAAGCCTAATACAAAGGAAAACAGCACAGTAGTAGGGCCTATATATTTCTAAAAAAAATAAGATTATTTTCTTGAAATTGATCTAGTTCTAGAAGCACCAACGAATAGTAGAAGCACAACTGAAATAAAATGGAAGAAAAATTGCTTAAAGTAGGCTCAGAATAAAACAAGACATTGATCGAATATGAGCGTGCGCAGAAGCGCAAAAGCATAGTTACTGCCTAGGCCTATCAAAGAGGATTTGTTTTGAGCGTGAAGTAATTTTGACGCATCTTCAGTGTCGACTTGTCCCGCTGTTCATCTCACAACCATTATTACTACACTACACTAGCTTACGACGTAGTAAGGACTAAACTTGCTATCACTACATATAAGGCTACCTCACTGTATATACATTCACTTATCTAATAAAGAACCAATAACTTACACTAATAAACGTCTTGAAAAAACGTTTAAATTTACGTTTTACTGTGAATCCCACTGGTTTACAGAGTTACTGTAGTTTGATTATGACGTCACTTTAACATAATGAAGAAATACGTACAATAATATTAAAGCTTCCTCAACACATCGCTGAAAATTGTAGAAAAAGAAATCCGATAAACATTGTGAAAAATGGATGCAAATATTGAACAAAAACATCCGTGACCAAATGCATTCATAACATCGGAAAGGCGTTGCTGTACATTCCGCGATCAAATCACTTGGAGCGGAAAATAGAAATTAAAAATGACACACCAAGTTTCTTACGCCTCCTAATGTAACAATTTCTACCATGCAAAACTTATATAACTACGCAACATTTATGGTCCAGCAACATTTGCTTATGTAGACGTCTGTAGTCACATTTTCCCATTGTAAATTTATACCTAGGCCCTATGTCTACTTGTACAACAGTAAAAATATTTGGTTTGATGCCAATATCAAAATGTAGTAATATTGTATATCTCGTGTAAAAAAATATACAAGCAAATAAAAAGAACTGCATAATACGCATTGATAGTTGTAGCAAGAAAAAAGTCCATTCGCCAACAAAGTGTTTTAGTAACTTATTTCCATACGTTTAACAATCATTCTTTCTCCATTCTTCACCTTCAAATCCTTATCAATCAACTAGTCGACATCTTGTCGTAAAAAATAACACAAGCGCATACAAATTATGAACATCCCCTGTGTCCGAATAAACTGGAAAATAAATTGCATTATTAAAAACAGGAAGACAGAGACAGAGCTACAACTGAAACTAAACACGGTTTTCTTTTACAAATTATTTACCGTGCAAAACTTTCTAGTATTTTTATCTTTTCATTTCTTCTGAAGGCTACAAAAAATTTAGATAACATTTTAAAAGAAACAACGTTCAAAAAATGATACTCATTCCATGCATTTTAAAATGCCATAATTCTACTCGCTATACACTTTACAACAATAGTACTTGTTCGTGCCCTCATGTGACAGTTTTAAAGGAGGATCCACGGTAAACTACGAACAAATAACCTCTACATACTTCATTATCCAATAACACAGTTCTGCAATGTGCTGATATCATTGTTGGTATAAGATCACCATGGTAATGTTAAACGCATATGGAACGTTCAAAGAGAATGAAAGACTGGACATACAATGGAAGATTACAGCTCTTATCTTAGGTTACTTAATGGTTGTAATGGGAATGTGATGTTTACTTGGTCACAACTACTGTACTTCTTAATTTATTATTTCGTGTCTAATTGGCGTAGATAATACAGTACATCAAAAGTGAACACAATCCACTCACACCAAACAAGACGAAACTAAATCCGTTCTATCTCTGTCAAACTGAAACGCAATTGTTTGTATTTTTACAATTTCTTTAAGAAGTTTAAACCTTAATATCTTAAACAGTTACGCCTAATGATTGGCTGAACATGAGTAATAATATCTCGAAATAAGTTAACACCGAGCAGACGCATGTTATTCTTTACGGCTAATTCTGAGGCCTACCTCCGCTTACACCATGCGTCCCAGATGGGTGATATTTTGGTACGCGCAAGCGTACTACTATGAGAAAATGTCTGTTGCTTACGAATCATTTTCTACTAGCTGCAAAAAACACTCATTTCGTCTATCTTCCAAGTTAAAAAAAAAAAAGACTTGCAGCTATCGAATTACATTACGTAGAAACCCTAACAAAGTAGGTTTTTATATGCAAATTAATAGAAACCAAATTGCAAAGCCTATTGTAATGTAGGCATATACTGTTACAGCAAATACTGATATGGAAAAATAACTGATAAATTAAATACAAATTAAAGAAAATATTATGATTTTTACACTACAGCTAATAACATGACTGTTTCTAATTTAGTCATCGGCATTATATATATATCATGTAATAATTGCTTGAATTGTACCGTATTAAAATTTATGAGGTCAACAAAAAACAATATTGTTGGTATTATTCATATTTTTTTTATTTATATTGATTATTGTAATACTATAAAGACAAAAGAACTGTAACAAAATCGACAATTATGCTGATGACAAGAAAACACATATCGACAGTATTTCAGAAGTCTCGTAGCACGACTAACTTGGACATACAATCAAGAAATAAAAATATCGAACCTTCCAACTCACAAATTTAATATAATAATTAATCCGCTTGTGGATTTATCAACAGCCTATATGTTGGTCATTGGATTATTCGGGACCTCCTTGCATTAATGAATCGTTATCGTAATGATTACAGAAGACCCTATGCCAAGCCTGTTCTACAAATTACAGCATAGCTACGATGCTTCTTTGGCAGCTTCCTCGGTCTTCTCCTCTTTCTTTTCCTCCGCATCTCCGTTAGTTTCTGCCTTGGGAGCCTCCTCTGCCTTTGTTTCTTCTTTCTCTCCGTTCTGTTCAGGAGTTTCCTCTTTCTTTTCCTCTTCTTTCTTCTCTGGTTCGGCGGCAGCTTCTTCTGTCTCTTCCTTCTTCTCGCCATCTTTGGCTTCGGCCTTATCACCTTCTTCCTTGCCGTTTTCAGCGGCAGCAGCAGCAGCGGCGGCGGCAGCTGCAGCATCTGCTTCTTTTTGCTTCTCAGCTGCTGCGGCAGCTGCAGCAGCTTTCTTCAAGAACTGTAGGATGAAAATAAAAAAGTGGGATTAAGTGATGATTGCCACAATAATTTCCTGTTGTTTCATCAAAATCACTCCTGGCAGTATTTATACTTCATACTGATTATAACAATTTCACCTTCTAATCATTAGCAAACTTTTTCCAACAATAATCATCATCACCACTAATAATCATTACCAATCACCATCATCACCTTTGCCGTCACCAAGTTCTTCACGTACCAACACCACAACCATCCTCCCCATTATCGCCCTACTAGGGTAATAAAATTTACAAACATACGCTTGATAAATCATCGAACAAGTTAGCCGGGTAGATATTATTCATTTTGTGTAGAATAGCCTTCGGTATCCAGCCCTTCATGTTGATTTGATTGACAACAATAACTTGGCTAGAGTTCTCATCCTCACCGGCCTTTACCACCATTCCACCGTACAATAGCTCAGCCCTGCAATAAAACACATGACAAATAATTAATGAAAATATGATATATGATGATAGTAATGAAGAGGATGATGGTGATGATGATGATAGTGGTGATGAAGAGGATGATGGTGATTGTGATGATGATGGTGATGAAGGGGATGATGGTGATTGTGCGATGAAGAGGATGATAGTGATGGTGTGAAGAGAATGATGCTGATGGTGATGATGATAGTGACGAAGAGGATGATGGTGATGATGATAGTAATGAAGAGGATGATGGTGATGATGATGGTAGTGGTGATGAAGAGGATGATGGTGATGAAGAGGATGATAGTGATGGTGATGGTGATGAAGAGGATGATGATGATGATTTTGGTGGGAATGATGGTGGTGGTGATAATGATAACAAGGACGATATTACGATGACGGCAATGACCAAAATGATGATAGTAAAAGATGGTGATATGATGACAAACAGTACGAGCAGATCTCACCTTGTAATCGTGGTTTTGGTAGGAGGTTTAGTTGGGTGGTTGCAGGGTTTAAACACGTAAGCATTCTGCTTCGGCTCTTCGGATTTCTTCGCTGCAACACACTGCACTAGGTCACGGTTCGTGTATGGTGGAGGCAGCTTGATAAGGCTAAAAAGATGATAAATTACATTAGAAAATAAATAGGCCTATATGACGTCATTCAAAGTGGCTATATTTGGATCAGATATGTAGTAGGGCAAACCAGGGAGTGGATCATTTCATGCAGATTTAGGGCTAAATGTCTGAATCTGATAAATGTTTTTTTTTTCTTTAGATGTTTCGTTTAAATGTGTATTTGTTGTCTGCATTGGTCTGTATCTACAGACCTTGACCTGGATTTGATGTGTCTTCTTTTTACTTGAGATTGAATAAAGATGATTTGCACTCATAACTCATTAATAACATTAAAAAAAATGTTGGTAATAATTGAAACACAGTGCTTTTAAGTGTCAATTTTTTGATGTTATTTTTCACAAAGTAATTGGTAATTAAGAGTGTATTTTTTTTTTTTATAAATTGTGTAAATATTTCGTGTTTTCAGCCTCTGGGCTGATCTTTGTGAATGTTTTATAACTGAATAAATAAATAAAATATATAAATGTTGATTATACTTCAGGCCACAATGGGGGATATGGTACTTCAGGGACAATATTGACATGATGACGCTAAACATAGATAAGTGAAATCTGATAGATTGAAACTCAAAAAATGGTGATTTTGAGGAGCGTATATGGATACTATGAGAAAGATGTTCAGATTCAATACGCACGTGTACAAAATTCTAAAATCTTCATTTGTTTCCAGAACTTCAGATTGTACTTTCTTGTTCCATTTTTTCCGCTCGTCAAGATCCGTAAACAGTTCCACGGCTGTCAAGAATAAAATCGATAACAACATTAACAATAATAATATCAATTAATAATAATTCATAATCAATAATATTTGATAAATTGCTTCGGGCAGCTGCTTAACCTGTGACAATAATAAAGCACAACCCTGACATTCGAGGACGTACTTGCTGTATCACTGAGGAAATTGAACTTCTTTCTGGTAAACCAAGAAATTCTTGACCTTGAATTTACCCTGAACCGTAGGAGGACTTAGAGTGCAGAGCTCATTTGTCCCTCTTGTGTCATCTTATCGGGCGAAACCAACTCTTATCAAACCCGGACTTTACACAATTTACTGTCGAGAAACAGGATTGGATTGGATTTATTCGGTGTAAACACCAAGAATAGCCCACGAAAGTCTAGAAGAAGATTTATTTCCAGTGAGGTCCTCCTGGTGATGATTGGGCAGTACACCGGGAGACAACCCCTACTCTTTTCCGAAGAGTGCACTGCGTTCTTTAACGTGCACACGGGACCAATGACCTAAACGTGTCATCTGAAAGACGGTGCGCTATTTTAACTTGTATTTCAGCCCTCCAACTGAAACACAAGGAGTGGCAGCGATGGGAATTGAACCGGGGATCTGGAGATCCCCACGGTTCAGTGCAGATCTCCAATCTCTGAGCGGATGCATTTATTTCTGATTGGTTTAGATTTGCGTAATTTTAAGGAATGGCCTGTTCTTTCGTATAACTTTACATAGGCCTATCGACAAATATCAAATCAATCCTATCAATGTTATGTATTATTTTATACGTTTGAATATTATCAGTACGCTTTATTCTATAAGTTAATGTAGGTAATCCCCCCACCCCCGACGGACGTCTTGGTCCGTTTTCAACGAATCTTCATCAGACATAAATGATGAAATCATTTAAGCTTGTATCACTGATACTTTCAGGCATTGATAGGGAACTAGGATAGGCGTGTTCATCTTAATTTGACAAAGAAATGGGAACAGCGCCCCCTAGAAACTAAATAAGTCAAGTTTCTGCCAATGTCAGTATACCAGCTGCCACAGTAATAATGAACGCCATAAGGGCCCTAATAACATTTGTTTAGTTTAAAAAATGGAAAATCTTAGTTTATATTCCTTTTTTATTTGAATTAAAAGTAAGAATAATTTGATTTAATATATCAAGTAAACATGTATTTTTGTACTTACCTCGGTCAAACGAAACCCCGGACAAATCGAAAACACCCTGAAAGAACAATTAAAATTAAACCACATTAATTGAGAAGTCATTTACATAATAGTCCAAATAAAATGTATGCATACAATACCAATGTGTATAGGTTAACCAATAATAATTATTAATGTTAGCCGTCTTTCATCGAAAGACAAAGTTTTCCTGATGGATGCGTCACCAACAAGTTAAATAATAATGCCGTAATTAAATCTTTTCATAAGGACCTGTCAACCAATTTGAACAATTATTTATATTTTTATAATATAGGGTACCGTAAGCTATTTAGAAAAGAATTCCCCTTTTCCATTTTGCAGGCTTTTATTTGGTCGTTCTCTTTAAGGTTTTAGTCAAAAGGGCAATCAGCAAATTTTTGTTTTACATGGCTTCTAACATGAGAAGCAATATATTCATTTCAAGGCATTTAATGCTAACCATATCTGGCAACAAAATATAACCTTCATATTTGACCTCATAACGTTTAATTAACAACTATAAATCATCATCACGTGCCGGGTTACGAGTTAAATTTTTGTGTTGATCCAATATCATTATGATCAAGCCCGTGTGTTTATTGCTTTTATGAATAATAAAATAAGTTTTAGATTTTATAAAGAGGGCTTGTACTAGGCAATTCACGATGTCTAACGCCATATATTGTAGAAGCGGTTGGCGCATCGGTTGTGGCTTGGACTCCCAACCTCGAGGTCGGGGGTTCGAAACTCTCACTGTGCAAATCGCTTGTGTCCTTGGGCAAAGGCTCTTTATCTACGGTTGCCTCTCTCCACCCAGGAGTACAAGTGGGTACCTGGTAGGTTCCAACACAACTGAGCTGATTATTAGCCACAATATGGAATAAAAATATAATTTAACTTAATAATTTAATTTGGTGTTCAATGTGTTCCATATGTATTTGATCCAATGACCGGGGTAGTAATGTGAAGCGCTTAGAGGCTTTGTTAAGGCATTAAGCGCTATATAAGAACGACATATTATTATTATATATCATAGGCCAAATTAAGAGTTCCATCTCAAAGAATTACATTAAGGAATAGAAATATGACCCTGAAAAATTATATATTTTCTACTTTCCGCAGGCTCTCAAAACAAAAATGTGTGAAAATCGGGCAATTATGAAGATGCACGGTTGACGGTCTCCTTGGTGTTTGTAAATTGGCCTTTGTGAATCTGTACTTATTATCATACAATACTCACCGCAGATCATAACTGTGAGAAAATATATGCTAAACAGCTCATTGTATTATTATTATTCTTCGATATTGCACTCGGTCGCTGGGCAAACGGTTTAGCCATCCGAGTATAACTTGTCTAATTAGGCCATATCCCTACAGGATAATTTACTGACAGAAGGTAGACCTAGACCTATGTATAAATAATTAATGAAGCCAGGAAAAATATTAGTTTTCTAAAATAAACGAGGCAAAACTATGAAAGCTTGAAAAATACACCGCGTTCGATAGTGAAAACAGTACAGTTTTGCGGATTGGAGACACGAAGATGTAAACAGATAGACCAAAGTTAAGAACATGTAATTTATGGAAAGGTAAAGTAGATGATCAAAAAACAAAACAATGAAACCGAAACGCATCGAAATAGAAAAAGAAGTGGAGAAAAAAAATAGTCAAACGAATTGCATGACTAGAATAATAACATTAACACCATCTGACCAGCAAATATCAATAATAATCAGCCTATTTGCATACATTAATAATAATAACGACAATGACAGTAATAATGACAATAATAATGATGATAATAATATTAATAATAATAATAATAATAATAATAATAATGAGTACAGTGATATATATACATCTAGGTTTAGGTCTAATGTTATAAGGAAGTAAATGTTTCTAAACTTATCCAAACGAAACGAAATATGAATTATATGTTTTTGTTTTATAGATAAATGAACGACATCAATCATTGTGAAGTGTAGTGCTGAGCACAGTGTATTTCTAAACTTCTATGTTATGAGAAGACCTTCACAACTTGTCAATGTAATACTAAACGGAAGTAATAATAACACGTTGTGCTTCGGAGTTGCAAATGTTTGTCAATTAACATAAGCGATGATAATCAACATAAGCGATATTTTTTAGTATAGATAAGCACACAATCCGCTCCATAAGCCAACATCGTTGTTTCCTCTTGAGTGGTCAGACGTCTGACCCAAGCGGTTGGTGTGATGTTCATTCAAATGAAATCGTGTTTTAATGTGGTAAAATATTGCGAGTCTACTTATTAACATATTTCAGTAAATAATATTATTAAACTAGTATTTGCCATTTATTTCATTATGATGGAGGAGGACGGTGACGCCTTCGCCGTTGATCCAGGAGTTTTACAGCGTTGATGATGATGGTGATAATGGTAATGATGATGATGGTGATGAAGATGGTGGTGGTGATGGTGATAATGGTAATGATGATGATGGCGATAATGGTAATGATGATGATGGTGATAATTGTAATGATGCATGATGATAATGGTAATGATGATTGTGATAATGGTAAAGATGATGATTGTGATAATGGTAATGATGATGATAGTGATAATGGTAATGATGATGATGGTGATAATGGTGGTGGTGATGAAGATGGTGATAATGGTAAAGATGATGATTGTGATAATGGTAATGATGATGATTGTGATAATGGTAATGATGATGATGGTGATAATGGTGGTGGTGATGAAGATGGTGATAATGGTAAAGATGAAGATGGTGATAATTTTGGTGGTGATGAAGATGGTGATAATGGTAAAGATGGTGATGATGGTGGTGATAATGGTAATGATGATGATGGTGATAATGGTAATGATGATGATGGTGATAATTGTAATGATGATGATGGTGATAATGGTAAAGATGATGATAGTGATAATGGTAATGATGACGATAGTGATAATGGTAATGATGATGATGATGGTGATAATGGCAATGATGATGATGTTGAGAATATTTCATATGATGATGATGTTGGTTAATGCTGATGATTATAATAATTATAACGATGATGATGACGACGCCGCCGACGATAATGATTTTTTTCCTAATTTAAAACATCTTTATACAGGATAACATTTCAGAATAAACTGTTTTTTAAATGGTCCTGTATTTGACCAAATAAATAATTGATTAAAAAAAATACAAGAAAAATTACCAATCAAAACAAATACAGAGCAAGGTCTAAGCATTAAAATACATCCATCCATAAAAAAGGTTTTTTTTATATTGCAAATTAAAACTATTTATATCAGTTGATTCTTGAATAAAAAATGGTATATTATTCCAAACTTTAGCTCCAGCAATTTTAAAAGAACTTTCCATAGCGCTGCAGTTTGGAACTGGTGGTATAACATACCCATAACATTTAGTGAGTTAGACCTTCTGATTAAGTATGGTTCGTCTTTATTATAAACAGTTCTTGAACGTCCATGGGCATCACTCTCTCTATCATTTTTTGCTTCATTTGATCCTGTCTCTTATACACATCTAGATGTGTATAAGAGACAGGCCTTGAAGATATTGACGATGATGATTATGATGATGATGATACGATAGTGGTGATGATGACGATAGTCGGAATGGTGATGTGGATTAGGATGTGATGTACTGTAACGATTATTAGGATGATGATGTGTTGGTGATATAGGCCTTTGAAAAGTAGATATAGGCCTATATCTGCTTGGCTATACCATCCTGGATATTACATTTTAAAACAATATGGTACTGACCTTCATTGTAATTATGATGATACATAATAGGTTAAATATTCTTAATAGAATCTACTTTCCAACGTGTCTTCAATATGTCTGACAATAAACAAAATGTGGGCCCCATGTATTACTTCATCATCCAACGCATCATAGAAAACAAGGTTCATTACTGCATGGCCTCATATATTTATTGAAACATGGTGCAAATGTTACCTAGTAGTCTAAATGATTTATTTAATGCAAGGTGACAGTGCTTAAAAAATGTCATAAATTTGATTAGTGAGCCTAAATAAGTGGTTGTTAACCTTATAATTACGACATCCCAATTAGTTAAACTCCACCTTACTCGTTGCATTTGTGAATAGCGAAAAATAAAGTTTTCAGTGTACATCTGACAAGTATGCCTAGGTAGGCATGCATGACTTTGGTTACCGTATTATAGTCACGCTTTGCTCGCTTTATATAATTCTCACAGATTTATGAATACGGTACATCTGGTTACATAAACATCTTGTATAATAGGCCTCCTATGCCCTTAATCTTTGCATAGGGCAAAGATTAAGGGCATAGAAAATCATGTGTAATGATTTTCTGTTTGCAGAAAATCATGTGTAATTCTGAATGCTATAGGTAGAACCCTGATGGATTAATGGATGCCCAAATAGGTGTAGAGAGATGGACGGATTTGTCGTTGATATAATAATAGATATGCCTAGATGTGTCACCGACAATGATGCGTCATTGACTTAAACTTTATGTATAATCCGTATCTTCATTAGTCATGGAGAAAAATTATATACAGTATAATATCAATATCATATTTTTTTTCTTAGGCTTACAGCACTGCTGACAGTAATTTAGCATCACACAACCGAGGAGTAGCATAAGTAAATATTAACCAGAGAAATTCCTAACGGTTAAACTGTGTTGTCCTAAACCAAAACATCTACCTTTTCCTTAGCTAATCTTAAATATTGTTTCGAGTGTTTGAAGCCAAAACGAATTCTAGCCTACCTAGCCCCTAGGGTTTCTCTGCGATCGATTGTTGATTAATTCTAGCTAACCAAACGCGTGATTTCTACCTCTGCCGTGCATAATAACTCTACGCAATCAGCGACTATTTACCATATAAGGTGGTGTACCAACTCGACTACTAACTACTTGGCTATACAAAATTATAATTATACACATTCGTCGATGTATAGTATGATCACGAGTAAACTATCCTAAAACCCCAAATTATAACGACATATTTTAATAGTAGTACCGTATAG